AGACACTCTGACCTCACTGCCTGCTGAGCTCTGCATCTCTGCATCCGTCTCTGTCCCCACTTCCCAGCCTTGGGTCCCGTGTCCTTCCCTCTCTGGGTCTGTTTCCTTCTCTCTGAGTCTTTTTATTTTGTAGATCCCCTCCCCCTCCCTTTTTTTGGTGTGTGTGTGTGTTTTTCTCTCTGAGTTAAAAAAATATTTTTATTGATTTCAGAGAGGGAGAGATAGAAATATCAATGATGAGAGAGAATCACCCATCGGCCCCATCGGCCCCCACTGGGGATGGAGCCCTGACCAGGAATCAAACTGTGATCTCCGAGTTCCGTGGTCGGCAAACTGCGGCTCGCGAGCCACATGCGGCTCTTTGGCCCCTTGAGTGCGGCTCTTCCACAAAATACCACGTGCGGGTGTGCAAGTACAGTGCGATCGAAACTTCGTGGCCCATGTGCAGAAGTCGGTTTTCGGCCTGGGCGAGTCTATTTTGAAGAAGTACTGTTGATATTTGGCTCTGTTGACTAATGAGTTTGCCGACCACTGTCCTAGTTCATGGGTAGATGCTCAATCACTGAGCCACGCCGCCGGCGGGGTTTTCTCTGAGGCTTTTGTCTTCCTCTGAATGTCTGTCCCCCTCACTCTGGGTTTCTGTCTCCCCCAACCTCGGAGTCTCTGTCCTCTCCCTCTCTGGATTTCTGGCACCTTCTCTCTGCACGCCTGTCCTTTCTCTATCGAGCACTCTCCCGCTTCTGTCACGGCCCCTTTCTCAGAGTCTGCATCCTGTTTTGGCAACAAGGGTAGACCAGGTGCACCCCTGTGCTGGGGCAGAGGCTGGGCACCTGAGGGAAGTGAAAGTGTTGCAGGCCCCATCGGGGAAGGTCCGTGGGAGTGAGAGAGGTGGCTGGGCAGTGCCAAACACCCAGAGCGGAAGCTGAGCCTCAGGCAGTACTTCCTGCCTCTGCAGCGGGGCCCCTAGAGGAGGAGGCCCCAGAGGAGCCAGGGTTGAGCCTGGGACCTTGGCATTTGGATTCAGGTTTGCAGCAGCTGATCTCTCTCGGCTTGAGCTGCATGCTTAGCAGCCTCTGAAGTCTCCCCTGACACCCCACAGGCTCCCCGATCCTGTCAAATCCTAAGTCCTCACAGATTTCCAACGTAAACTAGGGATGTTCCTACCATCACGACATCCACCCAAGCCCTGGGAAACCAGCCCCTCTTAGAATACTGCACCCTTTCTCTCTTCTGAGAGATCTAACCTGCTATCTTTTTTTTTTTTTTAAGGCTTGAAATGCAATTTTCTTATAAAAAAATCAATTCATATTGGCAGTATTTTGATTTTTAATGCTGGGCTTCCCCTCCTCAAGGGGAATAACTGACAAATGTAATTATATAAAGTGTACAACATGATGATTTGATAAACATACACATCGTGGAATGATTACCAAACTTAAAATAATTAACAGGTTCACCATCTCATATAGTTTGTGTGTCTGGTGACAACACTGAAGATCTACTTTTTGCCCTAGCCGGCTTGGCTCAGTGGATAGAGCGTCAGCCTGAGGACTGAAGGGTCCCAGGTTCGATTCCGGCCGAGGGCACATGCCTGGGTTGTGGGCTCGTTCCCCAGTAGGGGGTGTGCAGGAGGCAGCCGATCAATGGTTCTCTCTCATCATTGATGTTTCTATCTCTCTCTCCTTCTCCCTTCCTCTCTGAAATCAATAAAGAAATATATATATATATTTTTAAAAAGATCTACTTTTAGCAACTTTCCAGTATATAATACTGTACTATCTATAATAATAAAAGCATGATATGCAAATTAGACTGGACAGCTGAACGACCTTCTGGATGTCCTTCTGAACGAAGCCAGGGATTCGAGGGCCGAGCCCCTTGCACAGATTTCGTGCATCAGGCCTCTAGTTAAGTATAAGCACCATGATATAAATCAGATCCTTAGAATTTATTCTTCTTAACTGAAAGTTTATATCCTTTCACCTACATCTCCCCATTACCAGCCCCTGGCAACCACCATTCTACTCTGTTACTATGATTATTATTAAAAATTAAAAAAAATTGTTCACGTATGAATGACTTTTTTTCCCTCTTTTTTTTTGTTTTGTTTATTAATCCTCACCTGAGGATATTTTTTCCACTGTTTTTCAGAGGGAGTCAAGGGAGGGAGGGAGACACACACACACACACACACACACACACACACACACAACACAGACCGGTTGCCTACCTCCCAGAACCCACAACCCAGGCACCTGCCCCTGGCAGGGAATTGAACCTGTGACCTTTGGGGGCGCGGCTGCCGTTCTAACCACTGGCTAGTCTTTTTCTGTCTAATTGCACCTGGTACAACGCCTTCCAGTTCCATCCATGTCGCAAATGGTAGGATTTCCTTCTTTTTTATGGCTGAATAATACTCCATTCTGTGTGTGTGTGTGTGTGTGTGTGTATGCGTGCGGGGGCGCGCGCGCGCAGAAACAGCATTTGCCTCTTGGGCTAGGGGAAAGGAGAAGAGGAAGCCAGCCCCATCTGGTGCTGGAGGGGTGGAACAAGAAAAGAAAGAGGGAGCTTCTTTTTCTTTCTGATCCTCTATTTACTCTCAGAAGAAAGTGGGCGGGG